TAATTTCATGCACTATAGATCTAAAGCAAAGATAACATATAAAAAAAGAATTATCTCTCTAGATCAGAGTGTAAAGATTGTATCTTTTGAATTTTGATTCTACATTAAAACTAGTGCTGTAAACACTAATTAGCAAATACTGTTTTAAGGACAGTATTTACATATACCATGCAATGTTCTGCTGAATTTTCTCCTTTTTGATTGTATGTTCAAAGAAGCACCATTCAAGATGATTATTTTGTGTACTTAAGTGGTTTAAAGGATCAGTATGTGACCAATAGTTTTTTCCTAAATGGTTTGCATTTGCCATAAAAATATGTAGATTCTCTTTTTCACAACCTATACTGACTCGGTTGGAATGTGTCTGTCTGACAGATTCGTGTGTCTGTATCTGTGGTTTTACCACAATGCCATAATACAATTGAATTCCATAAAATGTATAAAATCCTACTCTTTCCAAGTTACTCTATGAGGCTGTGTGGCAGAAGTTCATCATACCGTCACAGTGCAATGCTCACAAATGAATGGGGGAAGAGACTAGGCTAATACAAATCACAGGGAGAGAAGCAAACCAAGTTAGCTGCTCCTACCTAGGAAGAGTGGGTGTCCGTATCAATCAAGATTCCTTGTTGCAAGAAATGGATGCTAACTTTAACTGATTAAGCAAAGTAAAGCGTGTGTGCGTGCGTACGTGTGTGTGTGTCTGTGACTCATTTGCTGGGCAGTCTGGAAAACCAATCCGGAAGCTAAGCTTTCAGAAACTGGCCTAACCAGAAAACTAACTGCTGCCCCTACTACCACCACCCCAGCAGTTCCTCTTCTGCCTCGGGAACTCAATCCTATTCATGAGGCTGTTGCTGAAGGTCAGACACCCCAACAGTATCCCAGGAAAGTAAAAGGAATTGTGGAAAGAGCCTTTTCCCCTACATGGCTCATTTCTGAGTCATGTGAGGTTGATCGGTAATATCTAGATCACATGACTATGCCCTGGTTAGCAAAGAGGCTCCACCAGCAGGAATTGGGTGGGGCTCATCAGAAGGATGATGCCCCAGACTTGGCAGAGATATGGTTTGGATTTGTGTCCCCACCCAAATCTCATGTCGAATTGTAATCCCCAATGTTGGAGGAGGGGCCTGGTGGGAGGTGACTGGATCATGGGGGCGGAGTTACCCCTTGCTGTTGTCATGACAGTGAGTGAGACCTCACGAGATCTGGTTATTTAAAAGTGTGGAGCACTTCCCTATCCTCTCTCTTCCTCCTGCTCCCACGAGATCTGGTTATTTAAAAGTGTGGAGCACTTCCCTATCCTCTCTCTTCCTCCTGCTCCAGCCATCTAAGAGAATCCTGCTTCCTCTGCCCCCATGAATGTAAGTTTCCTGAGGCCTCCCCAGCCATGCTTCCTGTTGAGCCTGCAGAACAGTGGGCCAATTAAACCTCTTTTCTTTATAAAGTACCCAGTCTCAGGCGTTTCTTTATAGCAGTACAAGAATGGACTAATATGGTGTTCAAAGGGAGATAAGAACCCAAATACATGACAAAGGCTTACTCAGTTTCAGAATAAGCTCATGTATTCAACCTCACTAAGTGGCTACCATTGCTGAGGCCAGTTGCTTTCCTTTTATTCCTATATATGACACCGTGTTGTCATCCTTTTTGTGCCCCTCTCAGCAATTCAGCCCTGTCACCATTACCTCCCATTGATTTGAAAGTTTCTCAAAGGCTGGAACATTTAACTAGCACATTTGTCACAAACTCAACAAGTATTTATGAATGGATAAACAAATGATAAAAGTATAAAATATTGCATAAGTGAAAGCGTACAAGAAAGGCAGGAAAGCGCACCATAGAAGATGTGGCATTCTAGCCTATCCTCAAAGAAAAATAAAGAAAGGAAGAGAAGAGCGCTCTAGCCAAAGGGAACTGTGTAAGCAATGGCCTGGGAGAAGGGAAGTAGTGGGCATTTTGAAGAAGTCAGCACTTGAATTGCTTGGCATCTAGCAACAGTTCTTTATCTCATGGAGAGAAGAGGCCAAGGCTTGTCACCAACCCTACTCAACTGTACCAGAATACAGGAGAGCGAGGTGGCAAGCTTGACACTGATGACTTCTCAGGTAATTCTGAGGAGTATTCCTGGATAAGAAACATTATTTATAAAGTGTAGAGGGAGGAAGAGGAGATAATGAGGAAGAGAGGAAGTAGCAAGCAAAGTTGTGAAGAAGTTTATTTTGCGGGTCCTCCTATCCCCTTCATGCCCTCACTTCTCTACTTCATTGGCCTCACTACCTTGCCTTTATTCCAGTATCCTGCTTGCAAAGGCCCCTGCTGATAGGGCAGTTACTGCAATTCTCCTGAGAGGGAACTCCTTAGTTGCCCTTCCATGTAGTTACTTTTTATTGGCATACATTTGAGAGGCCACCACTGGCAAGCCAGTGTTCTCGCTACAGATGCCCAGATAAAGTCACCCCACCCTCAAGGATTTCACAATCTATAGCACTTTCATTTTAATATATAAGAATATACATCATACACCTTTAAGAATAAAAGAATTGTCAATGGCACCAAAATAGGGAGCTATCTCGAAGCAAATAGTCTTGTCCTAAATTCTTAAAACACCTCCACTTAAAAGTCTGTCCATTCTAAAATTGTTCCTGCCGACTTCCAATTTCCTACATGTTGAAATATGTAATATTCAAACAGCAAATTGCAGCTGGATATGCTAAATTTGTCTACAGGGATCCATAGTTTTCAGAAGATACTTTTTTAAATGATAAGAGATGATGGAGAAAAGAGTATCTGAGTAATGGGGGAGAGAATTCCAGGCAACTCTCTTAGCAGAAAGTGAATTAATTTCTTCCTAAAGAGGCAGAACTCCCCCTATTCCATCACATCGCAAGCATTTTGTGAAGGGCATTGGTACAGCTGACGTGCTGCAGCACAGTTCAAAAGGAACAAATGCACATGACCCCCACATCTGAAACAAGAGTAGCCCCTGACCTTGCTAACCAAAGGCTCCTGGAGGGGAAAAGTCATCAGAAGAAAGAGCGGAATGTAAGGGGAAGATTGATTGGCTCTGCAAGACTGCAGCCTCAGCTCAGCTGTGGTTTCACCCAGGTGAGCACACTGCTGGTTGGAGCTGGGCTAAATAGGTCATTTTATTTTTTCAACTGCCTTTGGTTGTACTGACATAACTGGGCCCCCACCCACGGCTCTACCACATCTCTATCAACTCTACTCATATACTTTATGCTCTAATAACACCTAACCGCTATCGTGGCCTTCCTGTTCCCCACCCCCCACACACTGTCTCAGACATTTTCATCTGCTGCTTCTCCCTCTTACATATCGTTCAATGCTGGACTCAAGAACGATTTTGTCCAGGAAGCCCTCTCTGCCTCCTCTTTGTCAGTGCCGTCATATCTTCCTGGGTATGTCCTCAGTAAGTCATTCAACTTCACCATCCTCTAAGCCCTTGAAGTCCAAACCCTTGCTTACCCATCTTTGAATCCTCAAGACAGGGTGGTAACTGGCAGAGAGTAGGTGTTCAGTATTTGTTGAACTGAATGGAATGCATCCTATCTGCATACTTAACATCTTGGGCACAGAATGTAGAGAGAACTAAAGTGGGTTCCTGTCCTCCCCAGACAGACTTGACAGAACCCCAAAGTATACAGAAGTTGGAATGAGCTACGGCAGTAGCCCAGAAAAGGAGAACATACGTCTGAAGGCAAGAAAAGAATTCATCAAAACGGTAGTGTGTGAGGGCCAGGTGCTTGTAATCCCAGCACTTTGGGAGGCCGAGGCAGGTGGATCGCTTAAGCTCAGGAGTTCGAGACCAGCCTGGCCAACATGGTGAAACCCCGTCTCTACAAAAAACACAAAAATTAGCCCGGTGTGATGGGGCTCGCCTGTGGTCCCACCTACTGGAGAGGCTGAGGTGGGAGGATCGCTTGAGCTCAGGAGGTGGAGGTTGCAATGAGCCAAGATCACGTCACTGCACTCCAGCCTGGGCGACAGAGGGAGACCTGTCTCAAAAAATAAAAACTAAAAAGAAGCATCTGAGAAGTCCTAAGATTGAACCTTGGAAAAGCTCATGTGATGTGACTCCATGAAGAATTTTTACTGTAGGGCCCAGTAGAGCATGAGTTGGGGGTGGGTGCGGGGGGTGGGAGTGTCGGGGGAGGTGAGGGAGTATCAGTTCTTCACCTTAGCATCCCATTCTGAAGCACAGGAGAGCCCCTTGTCAGAGACAGACATGCATTTATCATTTCTGTATAACTGACTCAATGCACAGCTATGGAGCTAATTTCACGCTGTTTATCTTGTAACATGGATTTTATCTATGCTTCCCAAGTAATATTTTCATTTCCATTTTAAAATTCAGAGTTTAGAAAAAGGCCCTCAAATACTGTTAGGAGAACCATTCAAATCAGGTGCCCAAAACTAGATGGCACATTCATTCATCTATGGTTGGATGGTTAATAAGCAGTGCAAGAAATGAGCTGTTTCAGAACGCAGACATTTGTTAGAGAACAGGAACTTCTGCTCTCCGTCCTGGAGATTCACAGGTTTGGCCCAATTCTTTGTGAAAACAGACCAGGGCTCCTTCTATGAGAAGAGTGGAAGAGAGGAATGAAGGACAGGAAGAGGACGGAGTTGGGAGGAACAGAAAAGGCATTATGTTACATAGGGAGAAATCTAGGCTCCAGCCTCAGCTGTGCTGCTAACTCGCTGTCTCTTGACCTCTCTGGGCATTAATTTCCTCAATCTACAAAATAAGGCAACAGGACTGAATTATCCATTCTAGCCCTTCCACCTATGATTCTAACCCATTTCGGTGCGCCTAATGAAGGAGGGGACATATGGTCAACCAGGAAGACCCATAGGGGCCACGGCGGGCTGATACGACCCTCCCGGGCTCTCCCTCCCCACCCCGCCTTTGGCACCACCCGCCCCTGCGCGCCGCCTCCGGGAGCGAGCCGCGCGCGCCCGAGGCCACGTGACCTGAAGCCGCGGGGGCGCGCCCCAGCCGCCATGTCGGAGGTGCGTGGAGAGCCGGGGTCCGGAGCTGAGGCCGGCGCCCGATTCTTCTGCACCGCGGGTCGCGGCCTGGAGCCGTTCCTGATGCGCGAGGTGCGGGCGCGGCTGGCGGCCACGGAGGTGAGTGGGCCTCGCTGCGCGCCTGGGAAGGTGGGCGGCCCTGCCCCTGCCCCGTTGCCCACCCGAGGCCAGTCGTGCACGCGGGAAAGCGACGCCGGCGCCCCTCTCTGTTCCACCCGACGGTCGCCGCCCCCCGAGGTTGACTGGCAGGCGCTTCCGCTATGGCCGAGGGAAGCCACCATTCCTTTCTTTCCTTGCATAGCAAATCCAGTTCCTCATTTCTCAGGGCTCAAGTTTTTAAGAGAGGTGTTGAGGCAAGTTATTTCCTGCATTCTTTAAAGTACTTAGTAGTGCCTGTAATTAGAATCTGGCTTGTCAGAGTTAGAACCCTTCGTTCTTTAAATGCAAAGATGATCTCCAAGTTCAGTTACCTGACTTTTTGTTAGTTTCTTGACAGTGATAGTATTTTACTTCACAGGATTGTTGTGAGGATTAAATGACATAGCGTATGCAAAGTACACTTTAAACGCGCAGTAAATAGCAGCCAGAAAAACAATATACTCTTGCGGGCCTCATGGTTATCTGTTGTTGATTTCCGTGAAATGAACAAAGTTTTTAAGCATTGGTTTAGGTTTTAGAACGTTGAAAACTGGTTTCTTGAAAGTAGAGGATGAAGGTATAATAGAAAAGGTATCTTGATGGGGGGGGGGGGGTACATGGGACAGTGTGAGTGGTGTGCTCTTAGAAAAGGAGAGCTTGCTAAATGAAATTAACCCCTCCACCCTGGCAGCTTCTACAGTGTGGGAAGCCCACAAAAGGAGTTTCTGCAGTGAAGAGTTGGAGTCATGAAGAATTATGTCAGTTTTATTAGACTGCCTGCCACCGGTGTTTTGGGTCACAGAATTTAATAGAGTATTGAATGTAGCTAATCTAAAAAAGCAACAATATATAGTAACTACTGACATTTATTGAACATTTAATATGTGTCAGGCATGTGTTCTTAGATCTTTACCCTACATTTATTTGCATACTTTTCACAACAGCCCTATAAGGTAGGTGTTCCACATTTAACAGATGAGAAAAATGAAGCACAGGTAAGTCCAATAATTTATTCAAATCATGCAGCTAGAAAATCGCAAAGATGGGATTCAAACCTGAGCTGGGAAATCAAGCATGAGTATATAATCACGTTCAAACCAGGCCCATGACATAGGGCTGCGCTGGTTTGTTTTTTCAAACGCTGACTTAGAGTGCTTGGTGTGAAAGAGAGATGGCTTGGCCCAGTTGAATATGTAGGTTTATTAGAAAAAAGAAAGACACTCTGCTTGTTCTCCATCTTCTCTAAAGACAAATGAAATTGGGAAAACTTTATTACCAGGAAGAAAATTCAATTACCTATAGGGAAAACTTTGTGACAGTGAGAGTAATTAAATGCCAGTAGATTTGGGAATTTCCATATTCTGCTCTTGTATGTTTGAAGGACAGATAGGTCCGGAAATGGGATCTGAACAAATAATCTCTGAAATTCCACCTCCGTTGCTCTGATACAAAGTGAACTCTCAAAGTTAAGGCAATCCTGAAATAACAGTGATGACAACTAACATTTATTAAGCACTTAAAATGTTAGACAAGTTATGTGCATGTTATGATTTAATCCTCAAAAGACTCCTATGTAATAGACTTTTACCTCCATATTTTACAAAAAAAGAGAAGATTGGGACTTGTATCTGGAGCCTTTCTAGTTTTAAAGCCTGTGTGCTTTACCACTAGGCTAAGTTACCGTGGGAATCTGCCCTGGAACATTGGATGTAGTTTATTTCTGTAACACCGTGGTAGAGTATGTATGGGCTTTAGAATCAAAAGACCTGTGTGCAGATCTTATATATTTCTGTAGTAGATATGTAACTTTGGGCAAATTACTCAAATTTCTGAGCCTCAATTGTCTTGAATGTAAAATAGAGATGATAGCTACTTTAAAGGATTAATGTAATCACTGAAACAAAGATAGCACAGGTAGCATGATGCCTAGCAAATAGTTGGTGCTCAATAAATTTTAGTTCCCATACATGACTTGTATAGTAATACTTAAAACATTCTTTTAGTGACAAGAGAATGTTAGAAACTTTGGATCACATCAAGGAAGTTAATATTCTAAAATCTAAATTTACAAAACAGATTAATTCAAGAATGATTGTTTAAGAAAGTAATCACCTCATTTTAATCAGTGTTTTTCCAATTTTGATGAACATAAGAATCACTGGGGAAGCTAGTTGACAATGAGTATTTCTGGGTGCCAGCCCCAAAAGGTTTTCTTTTAACAGGGCGGCTGGTAAGCCCAGGTGATACCATTTTAACATGAAAACATGCTGCCCTCCCAGGTAACTCCAACACACAGCTTGCAGTGGAAAATTTCCTGTGTATTCTTTTTAGCTTTCTATCATGGAGAATTTCAGAAATACACAAAAGTAAACAAAATACTATGCTGAATCTAGCCTGGTGCGGTGACTCACGCCTGTAATCCCAGCACTTTGGGAGGCCAAGGTGGGCAGATTACCTGAGGTCAGGAGTTCAAGACCAGCCTGGCCAACATGGTGAAACCCCGTCTCTACTAAAAATACAAAAAGTTAGCCAGGTGTGGTGGTGCACACCTGTAGTCCCGGCTATTCAAGAGGCTGAGGCAGGAGAATTGCTTGAACCCTGGAGGCAGAGGTTGCAGTGAGCCAAGATCACGCCACTGCAGTCCAGCCTGGGCAACAGAGCAAGACTCCATCTCAAAAAAAAAAAAAAAAAAGAAAAAAAATAGTATGCTGAGTCTGCATGGTATAGTTTAACATGTTCCTCTATCCTCTGTATTTCCTACAAGTTGAAATCCTGTAAGTTGTATCTAGAACTTGGTCAGATTCAAGTTTGATGTTTTTTCTCCCTTCTGGTTGTATGGCAAATTTCTTCATAAGTCCCTGGATGATGTTAAATATTTAATTTACGTATCTACAAACACGGATCACTTAGACTACTTTGACGAAATTAATATATTGAGAAAAATTAAGCTTTACTTTATAATGATGTTTAATGTATTAAGTACTGCTATTTATTGTAAGACTAATAGTAGGAACAGTTATTTTAAGATAAAATTGAATGTTGTAGAGATGTCTCTAATGTCAGTTCACCAGAAAAGTCCTGTGAGTTGATTCATTGGTCTTTGTAAACTCACATATCAAACACTATTAACACAGGTCCTGAATAGGCCACGTAAATTTTTGTTTTTTTTAATGGTGTCATCACAGTCGAGGGTAGTGGGGTCGAGTTAAGCAGAAAGTCAGATTATTTCCTAGTTATTTTCATTTAATGGAATAATTGCATAAGGTTGCCTTAAAGATTCTCTGCATTCACTTTAAATTGAATGCCTCTTTTTTTTTTTTTTTTTTTTTTTGACAGAGTCTTACTCTGTCACCCAGGCTGGAGTGCAGTGGCGTGATCTTGGCTCACTGCAACCTCCACCTCCCAGATTCAAGCAATTCTCCTGCCTCAGCCTCCCAAGTAGCTGGGATTACAGGTGCCTAGCTAATTTTTGTATCTTTAGTAGAGACAGGGTTTCTACTAAACATATTGGCCAGGCTGGTCTTGAACTCTGGACTTCAAGTGATCCGCCCACCTTGGCCTCCGAAAGTGCTGGGATTACAGGCATTAGCTACCATGCCCAGCTGAATGTCCTTTTTACAAATTAAGTGAAACATATTTTTGAATTCCTTCTTCTAAAATAAACCAAAACAAACTCAAACACCACATTAACCCATCACTTAGCACTTTCAAATTAGTTCTGAAACTGGCCTCTTTAGAATTAGGAGACCTTTGGTACCGCCCTATATCATGATATGTTTTTGCGTAGATTTAGACTTTTTTAAAAAAATTATCACAGGATCAGGCTCTATCACTCAGGCTAAAGAACAGTGGCGTGATCACAGATCACTGCAACCTTATTTCCCCAGCTCAAGCAATCCTCCCACCTTACCCTTCCAAGTAGCCTCTTGGACTACAAGCACATGCCACCATGCCCAACTCATTTACTTTTTGTATAGACAGGGTCTCACTGTGTTGTCCAGGCTGGTCTCAAACTCCTGGGCTCAAGCAGTCCTCCCACTTGGGCCTCCCAAAGCACTGGAATTATAGGCGTGAGCTACCACTTTCACCCTAGATTTAAACTTTTAATCTTGGTGTTAAATTTGAATCCATGAATTTTAAAAGAAAGGAAAAATAATGTTTAGATAATCTAGTAGAAAATAGAGCTGTTATTACTTAATAAAGGCTGTTATTTCATCTTCGGAAGTGTTATACATAAAACCAGGTGTTTTTAGACACTTGGTTATGATTTAATTCTAGATAGAAAAAACTAGATTGTATATATAAATAAATTTTCAGGTGAGAAACTTGAGAACAAAATATTCCAAATGCCTTATTTCTCCCTGAGTGTTGTAATTAAATATGAATAGTTACAAGAAATAAACTAAAGAAAAAGAGAATTAGTAGCTTCAGCAGTTCTTGAAATCATAAGCACTAAAATTAATTCTCCCTACTGTTTTAAGATATAATACCTATCTTCACAAAGAGTGAACTGTTTAAGTGCATTCACAGATAGGATTATTTGATTCTCACAGTTAGTACTATTTTACAATTTATTAAACTACAGTAAGTCTTCATTTAATGTCATCAGTAGGTTCCTGGAAACTTTGACTTCAAGCAAAAGGATGTATAATTAAATCATTTTTACCATAGGCTAATTGAAATAAACAAGAGTTCCTACAGTATATTTCTAGTCGCAAAAATTTCACAGACTTCTAAATAAAGAGGTTATTTAGAACACTTCTAATAGTAAATGCTGAAATAACTCTTCTAATATTAAACATTGAAATAAATGTAAGCTATACATACATTTAAGAAAGATTGATAAAAACAAGTAGGATAATTATTTATCCATCTATTCCAGTTCAGTTATTCCATGGTTGTCACTGGCCAGGGCCTATCCTGGCAGCTCAGGGGACAAGGTGGGAACCAGCCCTGCATAGGATGCCATCCCATTCCCCAGCGCACTCACACGCCCACACATTTACTTGCACTGGGACCATGTAAACATACCAGTGACATAACAGGCACACTCTGAGATGTCAGAGGAAACTGGGGTACTCAGGGAAAACCCATGCAGACATGGTTCACCTGGACAGTAGCCCTGGCTGGGAATTGGTATTTTTTCTTATCAATATCATGATGAAACAATGTTGAACAAAACAGTGTTATTCAAGGACCTGCTCTACTTCTGATAACATGCTTATTCTAAAAGAAATGTAGGCCTTATGATAATTCATAGAATAATGTTGCTGCTTTTGGTTTTAAGAATGTATAATTCTTAGAATAATGTTGCAGTTTTGGGTTTCGAGAATGTATTTGGCATTTTACTGCACTAACATACTATTCTTATGATCTGATGTTCTAAATAAACTTTTTGGGTCCTCTTAATTAACTTGATAGTCATATTCTTTTTGGAAACCACTGGCCCCGGGGGGAAATATATATATATTTAAATGTAAATATACATTTTTAAAATATAAATATATTTTATGTATATATATGTTAGAGAAAGCTGATCAGATAAAATGCTTCCCTTGATATTTGAATAAGAAAAGAAGATCTTCGTACAATTAAGTAACTATAATATCTAGATCACTGACTGCCTAGGTTAAAGTCACTGGTCTAGATCTTTGCGCATCATTTTACTTGTTTACAGAATTTGAAACTTAAAACCAAACATTTTCAGTAAAGTATTTAGTCCTGTTCCCCCAGAATCTTGGCAAAGTATTTCGTCAGTTAAATTGTTCTGCGATGGCTTTAGTATCAACTGTATTCTTACGTCAGCTAACTTATGAATTTTTGATAATTTACTTTTTAAAACTTTGTTTTCAAGTTTCTTAGCATTTTGAAGTATATACTTTAGTTTTGGGGAAATGTCACCTATGTAATAAGAAAGAAGTAAATTCTAGAAACCAGAAGTTCTGGTTTTGGTTACTTCACTATCCCCTTATATATTGATTCCTAAATGTTCTTTTCATTCCCTGCTTCCTCCCATAGTGTCATTGTCTGTTCCTCCATCTATTTTGGTCAGCTGCATTGCTGTAAGCTATTTGAGTTTTAATTGGTGCCAATCTAGGGCTTCTTCAGGAGAGATTCTCTTTCATCAGCCTGGAGTAGCAACCCCAGAAATTACCATTCCAAGAGTTTAATTAGATCTTGTCAGATCCAAAACAAGCAAAAACCCTTGGAGTTCAAGTACCCATGGATGGTAGCTGCCGTAACACAAGAAACCCCACAGTCCCTGGTGTCCGAGTTCTAGGAGATTATTTAGAACCATCCTGTTCAATTGTTGGCCACTGCTAAAAAGAGAGCTCCAAGAGAGCCCACATCCATCCTGGACTTAAAAGGGTTGGGTTGACCCTAAAAGAGTTAAGATTCCGTTGGTATTGAGCACCCTTTGTCACAGCATATTAGGCTTCCTGTGAGTCAGTGCTCTTTTCATTTTCCTTCTCTTGCCACGTATCCATCCTTTCTCCAAAACCTGTTTCTGTTTGATGCATATGTCTTGCTTCTACTCGTTATCCAGTTTCTGCAGCCAAGTATCTCGTCATTTCTACCTCAGTAACCTCCTTCTCCCTCTAGCATCACATTCTACACTCAGTCCTTTATGCCTCTTGTAAAGTAATTTTTTCTGTCAGCTAATTCAGTGCTGTCACAGTTTTCATCAAAAGTCTATAATGGTTGACCATTACCATTCGTGGTACTCAAAATTTCATGACCATTTGTCAGGCTGGCCTAAACTACATCATCCATCCACCTGACACTATCAATCAGCATAATACAGCAAATGTTGCTTACAGTTTACTTCAGCCAGGTTTTCATTCCCACTTCTGCATCTGCCCCTTGTTCTTTTATTAGAATCCTTCTTCCCAAACCTTACAGGATTCCTTCCGAAGACTCTTTGTAATGTCGGCTTTCATATTCATTTCTACTTAGTGTACTTACAGCTTGTCAATGCATTATAATGTTAAAACTTTTAGTTTTCTTCTGGGTTTAATTCAAGTTATTGTCTTATAAATCTTATGTTTTAATGTGTATGTCAGTGTGTGTCTATTATTCAGAATATATGTTTTATGCTTCCTGGTAGCCTACAGGTAAGTCTTCAGTAAATATCCACCTTGGGCTAGACACCTAATTGTCTAGTACATTATACCTTTGTCTACTTTTGGTGGTGATAGGATCTACCTTAGAGGGTTGTTATAAGGGTGGGGAGGAAAGTACTTATTCAGAGTTCCTAGTACAGAGCCTGACAAATAGTAGATACTTCAGAAATGGTTATTTTTATTTTTAATTTAAATGCTATACCTTAAGAGGGAAAAAATACCATTTTTACACTGACACTGGACTACATTGAAAGCTGTTTTTTTTATTTCTAGGTTGAATATATTTCAGGAAAGGTTTTTTTCACCACCTGTTCTGATTTGAATATGTTGAAGAAATTAAAATCTGCCGAAAGATTATTTTTGCTGATTAAAAAGCAGTTTCCACTTATTTCTTCTGTAAGTAAAGGTATGGCATATCCATATGTGTGTTGCTTTTACCCACATGACACATTGTACTCCAACATTTTCTGCTTGATAATTAATATGTAGCCATTTTACACTTTAATATTCATTGACATGTGTGGGATCATTAATTGTGTATTTTTCTGTATTTCCTGAATATTATCACCTGATTGTAGTAGAATATTTCTTCTCTTTGCAAACTGTGTGCTGCCTTTTTTATGAGAGTTTAATGTCTTAAGCCACATTTCTTCGAGAATTATGATCAGGTACCTTCTTTAGAGATATATATGGTCAGTTGCATTTGGATTTAGAAACATGCCGTAATCCAAAATGCGTTATTTTAATAGTAAATCAGTGAAAATCGTCATATTGTACATTTTAACTGTGTGATATAATTGGAAAAATACTGCATAGTAAATATTTTTATTTCTGGGACCTTAAATGTTTTTGATAAACTTATGCCCGCTTATCAAGCATTAGAGGTAAAGGGGGCATAAGAGATTTCTTGTCCACTCTCTAAATTTTATAAATATGCTACTAAAACAACATATGGATCTTGATAAAAACAACAAAACATGGTCAGACACTGCAGGTTTAAACGCTGCCTTAAACTTCAATTTGAATTACATAAGAGATCATGTATTTATAGCCTATAATAAACTATTTTAAGAAAGATGCAAATGGCAAGAAATCAAGACCAAGCAGAAAAAATTGTTTTAAAGCAAATCCCAAAGTATTATACTGTGGGGTAAATATAATTCCTCCCAGTACTCTACACACATTCATCTTTAAGGAACTACAGTAATTTTTGGATCATCTTGATGACCCTGGTTCATCAAGAGAAGATTAAACTTTGCTGAGCATACTGGCAGTATGCTAAGCTATGAATGGCTTGTGAGTTACTTTATGGAAACGCACTATAATATACTTATTAATATGGTGTGGGCTAAAATGTAACAGGCCCAAGATTCAGCTCCTCTGTTTCTGAGCTGAGTTTTTCAATTTATTCTTTTCTTATAAAAACTTAATTTTTATAGGCAAGATCACCATTATTTAAGGGTTGATATACACTCTAGGTCTATGTATATGTTGAAGAGATACATATATTACCATAGCACAAATAATCTTTCTAGGTTATTATATGGTAATTCTATAGAAATTTTAACACAGTGTGGATGCTGTATATGCAATATAAGAATGAACTTTATTCTGCACAATATTCTTACAGTAAATGGAATATAAACTCCAAATGGAAGTGAAGTTATTCATGTAGCAATTTAATAAAAATTCAAAGAAATAAAGGTAATGGAATTTGGGGGTGATGATTGTAATAGATAGTCTTTAAAGCTTCAATATAGGATCAACAAGATTTTTCTTATTTAGGAAAACTACTTAACGAAATGCAAAGACTTATAAATGAAGATCCAGGAAGTTGGTTGAATGCCATTTCAATCTGGAAAAATCTTCTTGAACTTGATGCAAAAAAGGAAAAACTTTCTCAGAGAGATGATAACCAACTAAAAAGAAAAGTGGGAGAAAATGAAATCATCATTGCAAAGAAATTAAAAATAGAACAAATGCAAAAGATAGAAGAGAATAGGGACTGCCAGCTGGAAAAACAAATAGAAGAAGAAACTCTGGAGCAAAGAGATTTTACCACTAAAAGTGAAAACTTTCAAGAAGAAGAATTTCGGAATGACATAGAGAAAGCAATTGATACTCATAATCAGAAGGACTTGACTTTCAGAGTATCTTGTCGCTGCAGTGGAACTATTGGAAAGGCCTTCACTGCACAGGTATGCTTGCATCCCAAAGTGGAGTCTGTCGCCCAGGCTGGAATACAGTGGCACGATCTGGCTCACTGCAACCTCCGCCTCCCAGGTTCAGGTGATTCCCTTGCCTCAGCCTCCTGAGTAGCTGGGATCACAGGTGTGCGCCACCACACCCAGCTAATTTTTGTATTTTTAGTAGAGACAGGGTTTCACATTGGTCAGGCTGGTCTTGAACTCCTGAACTCAAGTGATCCACCCACCTCAGCCTCCCAAAGTGCTGGGATTACAGGCAGGAGCCACTGCACCTGGCCTGTGGGTCCCATTTTTTTTAAAAGACTTACTTACTCTTTAGATTGAAAATGAGATGCAAACCTCTCACAGAATGAATAACTAGGCCCAGACAATTAGTTCTTATGGAATTAAATATCTTTAAAACTACATTTTCCTTTTAATTTTCCCTCAGATGTTTAAGAGGAATGGTATGCCATTCCAAGTAATTCCTTTCTTATACTTTGTGCCTAAAAATTTCCTTAAATCTACAGATGTCCTTTGTATTTGGAAATCCTGATACCATAGTCCTCAGCTTTTGGGGTTTCTCTTCAGTTCAGCTTTGTGCTTATTCAGTGGCTACTCTGCACAGGTCCTGTACATGGGATTGTCACCAGGACCTAGACTGCAAATGCATGTGAAGTCTCAGCAATATAGAGAAGAGTGAACACCACAAATTGGCCATCACCAAACCTCATCAGTTGGCCCTTACAAAGTTCAGTGATGTTAAAGGCCATTGGTCTGAATACTTTATCAACCTTAAAATCAGTCAGACCCTAAAGGGTGAGTCTAATGATACTAATCTGGTAATTTTTAAACACATAGGCTTATAGTAGCTGAAATAGTTATCTTTCAGCTTGCATCTGTTTCCTGAAACCCAGAATGATCATATTTATCAGGTCATAATCTAGTTATTTCATATGCCTAAAATTACAAGAATAGAGATTATGCATGAGTAGACGTTAATGCCATGGAGTGTATTGGGGGCTAGGGCAGATAAAATACAGCCTTACTGCCTGAAATAGAAAATGCTTTCATGTACGATTTTAATATCAGAACTCTAAATTACTGTCGGATAGCCTGACTTGATTTTCTTATAGGCTTCTCTGTTAGTTTTGCTTACATTTAAACTTAAAATTTTCATTTTTAGTATTCTTTTCTTTAACTTGCTACTTTTCCAGGAGGTAGGAAGAGTAATTGGAATTGCTATTATGAAACACTTTGGATGGAAAGCAGATTTGAGGAATCCAAAATTAGAGGTAATGAGTATTTATTTTATTTTATATACTTGTAACCTAATTCTTTAAAGACCGTGTCCTGTATTCTTATACCTTTCCGTTTTATTTTACAGTTGTAAAAAGTATATCGACAGGGATCCAGCAGTCCATTTTATCTTTAGTATTACAATAGTACAGATAGTTTTGCCAGCAGTTTTCACTGTGAAAATATCTTATCCAAACTCCAAGAAAAGATTTTTTGGAATGAAGTTATCTGGTCACAGTTGAAGAAAAAACATTTATTATTATGAGGTTACAGCGATGTTCTCTCTAGTCTCTATAATACACACAATCTATGATTTAAAAAACTTTAGCTAATGTTAAAAAATGGATAACAACAAAAGTCCTGCACAAAATTCAATAGTATGTGTTAATAGTGGCTTTGTTATGGATATGGGATTATGTTTTTATTTTCCAAAATTAATTTAATAAGGTTACACTATTTTTAATTGGAACAACTATTTGTATGGGGAAACAAAAAATATTCTTTGCTATTTTTTGAAAGCCATCTTATAAAGTTGACATATAACCAATAATTTTCATGATTAATTCATGAATTTATTTATCACTTGTTATGTAGGTTTAAATGGAGTAATAACTGGACAAATCAGAACCTTGTGTGTTGTTTTATTTTTAGATTTGCTTTTGTCTGACATTTTTCACTTTAAAAAAAATGCCTGGTATATATTTTTTATTGTTTGTCATACTAAATATTTTGATCCCAAGAATGTTTTGACATACAAGTATCTTTCTCTTACCTGCCCCTTTCCAATTCTTAATCATCTCTTCTCTGTGGCTTTCTCGTCCCCATCTCCCTGAGTCTCTCGTTGTCTCAGAATTGTTTTTCTCATAGATTATCTCATGAATAAATACAGCAAATTCAATTCCTATCAGCCATTTAATGCAATTAATAGCTATTATGGATAGAAATAATTAACACAAAATTGGAAACACAAAAATCACACGTAGTAAAATTTATGACTAAAAAATTGACAGAAGAATGAAATCTCAACAAATTTCCTTCTGCAAAATTGATAAGAAAACATTTATAGTGGGAGAGGCTCTTCTTAATAACATTCAATATGTAAACATGTCATATCTTTAGAATAAATTGTCAATAGAAAATAATTCTAATAATTTTGCTAAAATGCATAATGTATAAAATTGGGAAGTTTAGCTGTGATGTATCAGTTAAGTAATTAAATTGACCAAATGGAATCACTCCAGGTAAGTCTTTTCTTGATGAAAGTAATCAATTTTGGAATAATTCTGATTAAGCTGCTAATATTTAAAGTTATCTTGGAATGAAATTGTCAGGGACCAGATATTCTTGAAATTCAAAACAGCATTTAAAATATTCTGTAAACCTTATCAGGCTACAAAAGAAAGATTCTAGCTTTTAAAATTTGTGTTGGCTACTAATTATAATGTGGGGCACCTAAATACTCTTCTTGACATAACAGAAGAAAGAAAAAGAGAGACAGAAACTTACCTATAGAGAAAAGAGGACCCTTGCTGCCATATATTTGACCTAAACAAAGTTTTCTGTTACCCTGAAAGTATTTGCAGCCTCTGATAGCCCTGTGTGGCCTCGCATCCTATTTGAGGTTAGAATTAGGGTGGATTTAGAAAATCTTCTCTAACGCAAAATACTGAAGTCTGGTCCAGTTATGATAATTCTGAGAATCTCTAGGAAGAAAGTTGGTTTTGAGTTCTTTGTAACATGACTCTCCTGTATAACAAATTGACCTCAGCATTTTTCTATGAAATGTACTTAAAATTTAGTTTCCTTCTGCTTAAGAAAAAAAAAGATTATAGAACATTTTTTTTCTAGATATGATGAATAAGGCCTTGGAGTTTCTTTTTAAAACATAGGTCATGTAAGTTTAAAATGGAAATTTCAAATTGTCGGTACTTTGGTAATGATGTTTCTTGTTCCATTCTAACTTCTGTGTTTATTCTTTCAGATCTTTATACATCTAAATGACGTTTACTCTGTGGTGGGGATTCCTGTGTTCAGGTATATATTCTAAGCTTCAAGTTTGTCCCATAGGACGGATTGTTAAATTCAGAATTTATGTTTTTTATTTATAGCATGAATGAAGCATTGATATAACAGAGAAGGCTAAAGGCAAAGCATTTGAATTCTTTGCTTAAGACAATAAAATATTTTCATGGAACTTAGTGGATGTAATTTGAACTGACCAGTTAGAGCTGGGAAATATTTGGTCATGGTAATCTACTGATTACATGATTAATACTGAAAATTATATCTAGTTCTATTATTAAATGATTTTCACAGCCCTATAACTACACCTAAAATGCTTCTAGGCTGCCCTACTCCAGTGCCTTTAATTGAACAATTTTGCCTATCTGGCTTTTTAAAATTCTATGACAATTTTAAAGACAGGGTGGGGAAAACTAAAAGATGGACATATTTCAGCAATTATAATAATAAGTATAATTATTGATGGTCACCAAGACAAAAGTAGGAAACACTAGCAAAACAAGCAAAATATAAAATATATGCATTTTTAAATTTATAAAGTAGTTAATTTTTAAAAATATTTTGACCCCCAAAAAGTGAGCCTAAGCATCTAAAAAATTTACTTAGATACCAGGCGCAGTGGCTCATGCCTGTAATCCCAGCTCTTTGGGAGGCTGAGGCAAGCAGATCACGAGGTCAGAAGTTCGAGACCAGCCTAACCAACATGGTGAAATCCTGTCTCTACTAAAAATACAAAAATTAGCTGGGTGTGGTGGTGGGTGCCTATAATCCCAGTTACTCAGGAGGCTGAGGCAGGAGAATCACTTGAACCTGGGAGGCGGAGGTGGCCATGAGCCAAAATTGCACCACTGTACTCCAGCCTAGGTGACAGCAAGACTCCATCTCCAGAAAACAAAAAAATTTAGGAAGAGCATCTTACCCCTAGCAGTGCTGAGGTGGTATTAATTAGATTCTTACCACCAAATAAAATAACTCATTTTTAAATTATTATATATAAAAATGCTAAATTTTGTGCTCTTTAACTAGTATAACCTTAATGTTTTTAAAAGGTATTTGATTATTTAAAATTATTTTAATGCTTGCTAGAAACATTCAAGATGTCATGCCATGGCATTTCAAATAATAATTGATAATGTACCTTAAAGTTTACAAATAAAAGATAATGTATCTGAAAATTCAGACTCAGACCTTGAGTGAGCACTGGTTGAAAATGAGGTTACAATAGATGCTCTGTGTTTAGTCAGTTTGACTACCTCAGTGTAGGAAGGAAGCAGTCTCAGTGATGAGTTGACTAAAAAGAACAATTTGCTGGGACATGAAAAGGGGAGACATGAAGACTTGCACAACACATAGCACTGGACAAGAGAAGTGACAGTGGATATCAGAAACTGCAACCTGGTGACCTAACAACAGAAGAAAGTCAGAAATGATGAAACAAAGTAGAGAGCAGCCATGAAGTTAGAGGATCACATAAAAATTTGTCCCAAGTTCCTAAAGACATTGTTCATATTTTGAGCTTTACTTTCTTTAAAGAAAAAAACCATTTGGATATCAATAGCCCCATGAAGCATTAACTGTTTTATAGCTGGCGCCACACTATACGCATCACCTACTACAGTATAGCATAGCAGATAAGAACTGTGGACTTGAATTCTGTCTTCACAAATTCTCATAACTCTGCAAGTTTAGACAAATTATCATATTTCTCTGCTATAAAATCAAGAAAATAATAGTACCTACTTTATAGCTTCATCCTTGGAATTAAATGAGATAACCCACATGAAAATCTTTGCTACTGTTTCTAGAATACAGTAATCATTGAATAAATTTCAACTTTATTTTTGAAACAGTTCAGCAAGTAGGAGGGGAGGGCAGAGACATTTACTGGAGTAAGATGAGTTCAATTAATTTTAGTTGAAGCATCAGTTGTACACTTACTGTATGCAAAAAAATTATGCTAGACGCCCAAAGTTCAAAGACAAAAAAGATGAGTATTAATTTCAAGGAATTCAATCCAGTGGTAGCACAGATCTGTGATAAATGCTTGACTAGAGTTAGGAAAGAGAACCTAACTCTAATTGAGGACCTGTGAGCAAAAAGATAAAAGATTGTCCCTAAGAGGAGACTTGATAGCAATAAGAAAGGGTATGTCATGCGGACAAGAGAAGGAAAGGATATTACGGCAAGGAATCTCTGTGCAAAGGCACAAGGTATAAGGAAGCTGGATTTACATGGGGCATGGCAGGTAGTTTCAGTGTAGATGGGACATAAAGTGGTAGAAAATTAGAAATAAGCCATGAAGTGCCTTGTAAGTATGTTAAACAGCTTGGATTTTATCCTAAAAGCAATAAGAATTTGAAGCAGAAGAGTGAAGTGATCAGATTTCTGATTTCAAAAAAATTACCAAGAAAAAAATTTTTTAAATGAAAGAGAAATAAAAAGAGAGAATGAGAGGATTTAAACTCTTGGAGGTAGCAAAAAGGCCATGAAATCAAAAAGTAGTTAAGGGGTCTAGAATAATTTCAGATTTCTGATTTGAACAATTAGTAAATACTGGTATTAGTCACTGAGATACAAAATGTAGCAAAAGAAAACAGTGTATTCAGTGAAAAATGTCCCAGTAGATATTTGAAGTTACAGATCTAGAGTTCAGGTGACAAGTCTAGACTGAAGAGTTAGATTATGGTACCCAATATATGGGTAGTAAGGTGGCACAAGAAAATGAAGAAACATATCAATATGTGAAATCCAGGAGAGTGTATTCAGTTTATACCTGTTGACTTTGTACTACTTATCTTCCACATAAAAATGTTGAAGTACATATTTGAAGATAAAGATCTGGGGGGTTCAGGTAACAAGTCTAGGCTATAGATATAGATTAGGACATCTTTGTCTTGGTGGTACAAGGTGTACAAGAGAATAAAAAAGAAATGCACACATGCAGAGAAGAAGATCAAAAACCACATTTATTTTTGAACCGTGTACGTTAGCTAGATTCTGTGAAAGTAGAGCATTATTTTTATTTTCTAGGAGTTTATTTCTGAACATGCCTTCTTCTGAATAATTGTATTATGCTGATATAATGGGGCCCTTTTGTTGAAGTAATGAGATAATTTTGCCCAGGTTTAAGCAAAATGTGAACATTCACTTTTGTCAAATATTGACAGAATTATGTCCCATAAAAACTTCTATTAGCAAAAATATATACATAGTTGTTGAAACTTTGAAAGGTTCCATATAAATTCCTGCTGCTTAGAAGAGCATTTTTTTCATATATATGGACAAAGCTGGTTTTCCATACTGCATCTCCCTTTTTGGTATCTAGAATGCAACTCTGTTTTATAGTTTTGGCATCTAGAATGTAAACTGTGTATTATAGCTTTGGTATCTAGAATGCAAACTGTGTTTTATAGCAAGATAATTGCTAAGCTTACCCTGCAGAAGCAAAATTCACTGGCCAAAATATTTTATAGTGTTTCTACCTGCCAGTTTACATCCCTGATTCCAAATGTATGTATACAGTACTGTTTACAATGTGAATTATTTCTTGAAAAAACCTTATTAAAAAGCCAAACTCCCATGGGTTTGCCATGTAGAACTTCCTCATTATAATAGTAAGTATACAATTACACTTTTATTTTAAAGGGATATGTCATTTAGTTCTCAGATTTTAAGAGGCTTGCAACAAATACAAAAACAGGATAAGTTAAAGTCAAAGAAAAATGAGAGACAAAATTCTGAAAGAAATAAATGTTTAACATTCATATACCTAGAATTCTGTTGAACAACTTGAAGGAGGGTTTGAAGAACATCGTGGCTTTCCGTAAAGTTTGTAGAAGACCTCTTGGTGGTTTTGGAACAAGCCTACCCCAAAACAAACCAGCACACGTTCTTGACATCACGTCTTCATACCTTACCAACAAATTGTAGAAGTGAACTAGAAAAGCCTGGAAAGTTGAAATTTCCAAGGAGATTCTGCTTGTTCATTGCATTGGAAAGATATAAATGATAGACGACATTTTGAAAATTTCTATCAAATCTGGAAACATTGATGTGATGGTGGCATTGATGAGGTGGAGGATAAAGTGTGAAGCGATGCTTGTTGGAGACCAGTGAACTGATTTGGGAGATGTCTGGTTTGGCCCATCATCCAGTAAATTATTTTAGACAGTGCAATGTCATGTTTCATTTCATCTTTTGGGGAAGATGCAAATAACCAAAAAACAGACCTACAAAAGGGACTTTTTTATAGAAAATAGATTTTAAGGGTTAGCATCCCTTCAGTTCTACTTCCCATACTACATTTATATCACAAAATAGTATATTCCCCTTCATGACTTCAGACAGCAAAAAAAGGTCTACTCTGGGAAGACAGGGAAGTATAAGAAAGATTTTCCTCATGTGTAATTACATTTTTATACATTAAATACATGAGAGTATAAATTTCAGTTGTCTAAAAATTTAACTTTCTGAAATTCCACACTGGCTGGGTAGACAAGGTGCCCATTAGAGAAGGAATTTTTGTAATAAGATTGAAACATTCTCTAACTTAGGGAATACTTTAGTGTATGTTGGATGAATACGTTTAAATGATTCTCAGATTTGGACAGATAAATCATTTTTATATCTTGTTGTTCAATGTGTAATAATATATAATCAGATTCTTTTCTTTGTAGGGTTCCTTTAGCCAGCAGAGCTTACATCAAGACAACTGGACTGCGATCTACCATAGCGTGGGCAATGGCATCTCTCGCTGACATTAAGGTAAGAAAAATGTTTTCCTTCCTGTTAATAGCAAAGTTATTTTCATAATTAACTTATACGGTCTCTTACTGATGGATATTTGTATTACTTGCTTTTTCTTTTCTTAACGCTTTTTATTTAACTTCTTTTCTTTTTGCCATTATACTTACAAACTGCTGCAGTAATGCTTTTATATGTTGTTGAACTTCTGAGAGTATTTTGGCTGTGAAAAGGCTGAGTCAGAAGTTAGCTACATTTCATTATTTCTAATGTTTTGTGTCACAGTTAGAAAATGTGGCCTGTAAAACCTCTGATTCTTAAATTTTAAGTTTTTTTCTGTGACCAAGATCTTGGTCAATTTTTGTAAATGTTCTATGGACGTAAGATGATTTTATCTTCTAGTGAAGAAATGTTCTCCATTATTTTTACTTACCGTGTGTTTCTCTGCTCCATTTTCAAAGAAGTTTTTGAAATCTCATTATATTGTATTTTTTTAAGTTTTTGCATTTTTATGAGTTGTTGAATTATTCAGCTGCCATGTGATTTGGTATATACATGTTCGTGACTGTCAATACATCATTGTGAAGTGTGCCTTTTGTTACTTAAGTCCTGTTTATCTTGGTTAAGTTTAAATTTAAGTCTCACTGTCTTACTAATATTTTCACTCCTTTTTGTTTGCATCAGCCTAATATTTCTTTGCCACTGCTTTTTTTTTTCAACTTTACATATTTTCTTACAAACACACAGCTATTTTTACCCCACTCTGATGGTCTTTCAGTGAGAGAATTCAGTAAATGTTGTGACAGATAGACTTGATTATATTCTTCCTATTTTTATTCTATTCCTAACTTCTCACACTTTGTTTCCTTCTCTTATTTTTGCTAGTTTGATCAAGTTACTTGCTAATCATTTGTCTTGCCCTGTTTGAGGCTTCTGCTCTGGTTTACTTGTTGCTTGGGTAAAGTCTTATCTTAGGTATTTTTCTCAAATGTGGTATTTAATGATATACTGTCGGAATTTCTTTGTATCTTCAAATTTCTTCCTGTTATCTGGGTATACCTATCTTGGCTGGGTATAGGATTCCTGAATTGCAGTTCTTTTCTCTCAAAGGTCTGTTGATGCTATTCCATTGTCATTTAGCTTCTGGTGGCACAGATGAGCAGGCCATGCCAGTTGGATTTTTCTTTTATTTTCATTTATAACTACGTGATTCCTTGTTTTTGGAAACTTGTAAGGTGTTTGTCTTTAATCTTAAAGCCCAGGAATGTCACCAGAACATGCTTATGTATATGTCTTTTCTATTTAGCCCAGACCTTGGTGAGTCTTAGATTCTGGCCACCACTTACTGGCTGGGAAGCTTTGGGCAGGATACTTAACATCTTTGTGCCTCCGTTTCTCATTTGCAAGATGAAAAGAGTAGTAATATCTCATGGGATCATGATAAGATTAAATGAATTAGCATTAATAAAGTGATTAGAACAGTGCCTAACATTCAGAAAGTTCCTAAGTATTAGCTGCCATTTTGGTAATAATAATAAATATAACTATAATTATTAATACCAAAATTATAGTTAATAACTAGAACTATAATTACTATTTGGAATATATAATAATTATAAAAATTATTATTTATTTTTACTTCTCCGGCCTGAGCACTTTTTCTTCCATTATTTAATTATTGCCTCGACTATTTAACGAATTTAACTTTAGAACTAGTCTCTCTTTCCTACTTCTGAAATTCCTATTAGGAACGTGTTAAGCTTCCTGGTTCTATCCTCCAAGTCTCCTACCCTTTTGACATGATTTCCATCTCTTTATATTTGCATTTTGAGTTATTCTTGAACATTATCTTCCAAATTACAACAAGAGTCACAGAGACATGCTGTATTTTATTTATATTTTTAGATTAAAAATATGGCTTTTTAGCTTCATAAAGGTATGTGTGTCATATTTGAATATCTCTGAAAGCTCTTCTTTTATTCAAATATTGATCCGTGTCCTCCAGTAATTAGTAATTCTATTTTACTAGGTGTGTCTTCTGATTATTCTGCGTATTTACTCTAAAACTACTGAGGGACCTCTTCCTTTTTTTTCAGATGTGCCGTTGGTTTTTGTTTGTTCGTGTGTTTTGTTTTAGCTTGCTGGGGCTAAAATGTGACTGTTAAGTATTTTAAACAGCCAGAATCCTATAAATGGTAAAAGGCAAATGGATCTCTGGCACCCCAGGCTCAGCAGTGTAAGGAGAATCTGTCAGTCCTGCTGAGATACCTGGAGGAAACTTCTCTAGTCACTGACCTCTCTTTGGGTCCATAGATCTCTGAAAACCAAGCTCTTCCCTAGTTCCATTGATTCTCCCCTCTGGGTTCCACTGCTGTTCTCTAATCACTACCCAACCCACAGCAGGGAGGTCCCATCACACACGTTCCTTTTTCTGGGACTGTGACGGAGCCTTGGGCTTCTCTTAGCACCAGTTGCCTCTAGGTCTGAGCATCACTTGGCTCAGCAGAAGCAGAAAGCTTAGAGTTGAGAGTGGAGGAGGGAGCCTCTTTCAGATTACCAGGTACCCAGAACCCATGATTTTATTTGTTTGTTTGGTTTAAATCTTTAGTTCAGATTTTTTTAGTATAAAGAAAGAGGTATGGTTAATTTTTTCCCAAACTGCCAGTGGTTTCACCAGTTTGTATTTAAGTATAAATTTACATAATCACCTACACATTTGAAATGTTACCTTTGTTTTAATATAAACATGTTTTTCAGAAAAGTCAAAAGTAAATGATCAAAAATATCCAAAGATAGTGCTTGATAAAACTTTTCCTTACTGTGAATTTTCCCTGAGACTACAAAAAGTAAGAAATGTGTCTCTCAATGTGACCACAGGCCAAGGAGGTCTGTTAAAGAACCTGGGAAATGGCATGGTAGAGTTCTTTTGGAGGGAATGTGGTAGTGACCCACAGTCTGAGTGACCCCAGTATCCAACCTGATCCATTTCCCTCTTTGGAGCTTAGTACCCAGAGCAGTACATAGACAGCTCAGTCTTGGGTAGGCCAGTGCCACGAAAAATGAAATTTAAAAATGGGATGTTCATTATTTATCATGTGTACTATAAACTGTTCTCCTTCCTGCATATCATAACAAGGGAAATCAAGTTCTATAAATCTTAAATGTTGTTATAAGTATGCAGAAATACTTCTCTACCTCAGTCTGTGTCTACAAGTGTCATGGCAAGAAAAGGTCCTAAGGTAAAATAAAGCCGTTTAAAAATACTTTAGGTCAGATTATATCATTGAACACAGATCATGGGAGAGAAGGAGCACAGTGTATGGCACAGTTGAGATCCTAATAAAAATGGGTTCTCATACTGTTAACAATTTAACAACAAAATTTCCATTTAAATTTTTCCTTCTGCTCCTTACTGCCCCTTCATGGGGGATTTGTATGATACTCTCTTTAAAATTTAGTACCAGGGAAGGCTTCTGTCTCCTGAAGAACATTTTGTTTCTTTCCATTAGGTACCATATGGCTGTGGCTGAAACCTGGCTGTCCCCTGAGGACTCTGCTTCCTCTGTAGACATATCAAGTGGTGGATGTTTTTTCTCCCCTATCTCAAGCACCACTGGGCCTGACAGTGGGGTACGTTCCTGCTTGCTCCTTCTTGCCCCTTCTAGAGAATTATTTTCTTCCTTCTGCCCAGAACCTCACAGTGCCTTTGAAGCACATGCCATCAGATCACCCCAATCAGAGCTCTCTCCCTCTCATTCCTGTAAGAGTACAGGCCATTATTGCATCATGATTCTTTGGTCTCTGTAACCATTCAGTAATCTTACTCTTCATTTCTTGGCTTCCCTATTCATCTGTTATAGTCACATCCTAGACCTTGTCATACCCAGAAGGGTATCTCTTCCAGAAATCTCAGTTTCAGGAATCTTGTTCTTAACCACCTCCTCTTTCCTATTTACTTCCTCTGCTACCCGAACACAAATCTTTAACCCCACAGGGCCCTCTAGTCATTTGACCTAACGCCTGTTCTTACCACCTGTGCTCATCCCTCCTTCACAGCTTGGATTTTAAAAATAGTCATTTCCTTGCCCATACTTTTAACTCTCTTCCTTCTTTTTATCCCTTTTTTTCCCTTTTTTTTTTTTTTCAGACGGAGTCTTGCTCTGTCGCCCAAGCTGGACTGCAGTGGTGCGATCTCTGCTCACTGCAAGCTCCGCCTCCCAGGTTCATGCCAGTCTCAAGCTCCCTTCCTTCTTATTTGACTTAAATAATAGAATCAGAAGAGAACTTCTACATGTTCTCCTCACCAAGTCTACCAACATACCAGAATCTATGCCTACATACTCTGCCTTATTGTTGTTACAATAAGGGAACTGTCCTTGTTCCATGCTGATGCTTGTGTGCCGGATTCCATTCCCTCTTATAGACTTAGGAATTTTTCCTTCTACTGGGTCATCCCCATCAGCATGTACACCTGCCGAAATATCTTTCAACTTAAAAAAATGAAAACCCCCCCGCTGAAGCCATACATCCCTTCAGCCACCACCCCCTTTTCTGCTTCCATTTACAGAAAAAGTCTTTAAAATAATTATCTACATTGGCTGTCTCTACCTCCTTTCTTCCCATTCTCTCATATAGCAGCCTCCATGGGGCATTCATCACCAACACTCCACTGAAACTGCTCGTCTCACTTACCCGCCTGTCACTTCGACACTGATCACTCTCCTTCTTGAAGCAGTTTCTTCACTTTGTTTCAGGACCACTACTCTAGGTTCTGCTCCTATTATCAGAATGAGCTGCTTCTCAGTGTGTGTGGCTGATCTTCCTCTTCCAAACATCTGAACTTGAGAGATCACCAGGGGCCAATTCATAGACTTCTCTTGTTAAACTTCTCTTGCTTTCTAGATGATCACATCCAGTTCTGATGCTTTAAATATCATTTATAAGCTGACTGGCACTGACTGTTCCCAAATTCCTATCTGTAGCCTGAACCTCTCCCTTGAACTGTAGACTCATGTCCAGTGACTCACTTGACATTCACACTTAGAGGTCTAAGAGGTATCTCAAAATTAACAAGGCCAGAACTATACTCTTGTCTCCCCCAAAGTGTCTTCTCCCCAACTCTTCCCATGTCAGTAACAGGCAACTCTGTTCTTCCAGTTGCTCAGCTCAAAAATTTTAGGCATTCCAGACTGTTGTCTTTCATTAACATTCCACATCCCATCCATTTTTGGCTCCACCTTTTAAAATATGTCTAGAATCCAACCATTTCTTAGCACATCCACCAATTCCACTCTTAACTCAAGCCACCATCATCTCTTGACTGGACTCTCTAGCGCTCTTACCCTTCTATGGTCTGTCCTCTGCAGAATAGCCAAAATGATCCCTTTGAAATGTAATGTCATAGGACTCCTGTCCTCAAACCCTCCAATAGTTTCCCATCCTTCAGAATAGAACCAGAATCCTTACACCACCTATGAGATCTGGCATGCTGTGATTTTCAGAGGGGGAGTAAGTCGTTTTTTCTCCCAATTTCCTGTTTTTCTCCCAGGTACAGATAGGATTATACTTTCCTGGCCCCTTGACACTGTGTGCCATGTGACTAACAGTTAATACTGGTGGAAGTGATATGCATCGCTTTCAGGTGGCACCTTTCTGAGCCAGTGGACAATTTGTCATGCTTTCTTTCCCTCTGCCACAGTGATGGCAGCACTCAAGATGATGATTGCTCGTCGGTTCCAGAGTGAGGAGCAGAGGCCCCAGGTGCCCTAATGTGGGCATACAGTGTGAGCTACTTGTTTTAAACCTCTAGGACTTGGGGGTTGTTACAACATGCAGCATAACCCAGCCCATCTTCACAGAATCCCCTTGTTCCCTCTCTGGGGCTTTCACTACCTTTTCCTGGGCTTTGCCCAGAATGGCCTTCTTCCTAATTTATAAACCTGCCAAACACACTCCTGCATTAGGGCTTTAAGTACCTGAAATTCTTAATAAAGTGTAAAAAGTAACCTTTTCTCTTGAAATATTGATTCCTCAAGTTTAGGTTTCTTTTATAATACCTACTATAGTAGTCTTAATAATACCAAATTAATATTTCTGTCTGCAGGCTGGTGCATTTGTTTTAGATCCAATGTGCGGACTTGGAACAATACTTTTGGAAGCTGCTAAAGAATGGCCAGTAAGTTCTGAAGTTTGGTAAAGCAAGCAATTTATCTACTTTAATCAGTATATATAGTATAATCACCAATTATTTACAAGTAGAGTGTCTATTTTGGGATTATTCTTTTTAATTATGTGAGTTATTCACTATACTCAAAATAGATTGTGAAGGATTAAATTGCTATGTTATTTATTTAAATACTATGAATTTAGGAAAATATGACAGAATTCTAATCATTAGTCATGACCTAGATTATACTAATCCTCAAATTCTTTACACATTTGTCATTGTAAAATATTCGCAGATTTTTAAAATTTTAACATAAACTTTACATTTTTTGATATTATCATTTTAAAAGAATACCCTAAATGTGTTTTGGCCTTAATTTAAAATCTACTAATTTCACTTCCATCATTTGAGAAAATGCAAGTTGATTTTCTTAGCTACATAAAATGTGTAATAATTTTATTTATGCTTAAAATATTCTTTCTTTGCCCATAGGATGTGTATTATGTAGGTGCTGATGTCAGCGACTCACAGTTACTAGGTACTTGGGACAATCTGAAAGCTGCAGGCCTTGAGGATAAAATCGAATTACTTAAAGTCTCTGTTATAGGTAAGCTACTAAAAATGCAAAACAATTGAGGAAATGAACAATGTAAATATATTTAGAATCATACAAAACAAGACTCAGTATGTAAAGGTTGGTTTTACCCTGTAATATATCTGTGGGACTAATACTGAGTTTACTTCTGATAGTGTAACCGTTTTATTTTCAAAGGGTTCATAATTGGGAAGTGAAACAATAAGCATGTAAAGCATGACTTAAAATGTGTGTGTTAAAAAGAGAAAAAAAAAGTATTTGTTGCATCTGAACCATTTCTCATGTCAGAACCAGTGATCAATTAATATAGCCATAAAATAAGCAGTGTAATAATTCTTTGAATTTCTTTTTAATAAACTATATGAAATATTATTGCCTCACATTAGATAGTATCCCTGAGATACATAGGAGTAAGCTAACTGTCCATCCCAATTTGCTAAACCAGGACTTGCAGTGCTAAAATCAGCAAATCTGGAGTAAACCAGGACAGTTGGTCACCCTGTGAGGTAGAGGGAAAGTATTAACCCCTGTTTAATGAAGGGGAGTCAGCAGTGACACACGTGACTAGGAATCAAGTCTACTGAGACCAATCAAAATAGTATTTTCAGCCAGGTGCAGTGGCTCACACCTGTAATCCCAGCACTTTGGGAGGCCAAGGCGGGCGAATCACAAGGTCAGGAAATCTAGACCATCCTGGCTAACATGGTGAAACCCTGTCTGTACTAAAAATACAAAAAATTAGCTGGGCGTGGTGGCGGGCGCCTGTAGTCCCAGCTACTCGGGAGGCTGAGGCAGGAGAATGACGTGAACCCGGGAGGCAGAGCTTGCAGTGAGCTGAGATCGTGCCACCATATTCCAGCCTGGGCAACAGAGCAAGACTCCATCTCAAAAAATAATAATAATAATAATAATATCTTCCTGAGGTCCATGGTATTTAGACTATTTTTAAAAACTATTCCTTGTTTTATTCCCTGTTCCCCAAATATATATCTCTCCCTTAAATCATGAGTGCATTTAATTCCCAGTTAAGAACATTGTATTCTGTTGACAGTGATAGGTAGTAGATAGTTCCCAATATCAAACCTATAATCAGGAGGAACATAATATTATTTTAAAAATTTTGTTGTAGTGGAAAAGTAGTAAAGATGAGTATCAACAGAAGAAAATACTAGGATAACTTGCATAAAAGCATAGTAAAGCATCCCCAAAGAAGAAATTGTTTTGTTGATTGAGATCTCATAGTTGTTTGCGGTTCTGCCAAGGTTTTTAATAGGACTCTGTGCGGGAGACACAAGTTTCTAGAGCAAACTAAGGGATGACTAGACTGCAGGCTTTCATAATCCCTAATTTCTTTAAGAATGCTATTTCTTTGAAACCTTTAAGAAAACTGAAATTGCTTTGTAAGTTGTTCTAGAGCAGTGAGTTTTCAATCCCTTTACATTCTCCAAAGCACCTTGTAGGCATGAGGGAGGGAGTACTGAGTTGGCCATTGGACCGCTGTTGCACTCTCAGCTCCACTTTTATGTATTTTCACTTTAGAGGGCATTTTCTATAAGATTTCATTTAAAAAATGGAAGTGCTCCACTGTTTGTGTGTGTGTTTTAAAGGTTCTCTGTGGCACCAGGTAACTGCATAAATCTTCGTTTTTGAAAGGATTCCTCTTAGATTTTAGTGAGGGCAGGATGGAAACAAAGAGACTAATTAGGATACTGTGGCAACTCCAGTTATAATCCAGGTAAGAAATGACAGTGGCCTGGTCCAAGGTGGTATTCAAGGAGGTGTTGAGAGAAGGTCAGATGTATATTTGGCAGACAGAGCCAACAGGATTTGTTGTCGGATTGGATGTGGAGTATGAGAGAGAACATTCTAGGCTTTCTGGCTTAAGCAGCTAGAGGATGGAGTTGTCATTACTGAGGTGGGGAAGATGGATGGTGGATCAAGTTAGAGTTTAGGACCTGTTAAATTTCACACGATTATTAGACTCTAAGTGAAGATATCAAGTTAGTACCTCAGTATCCAAATCTGGAGTTTAGGGGAGAGGTTGAGCATCACTGGTATAGAGAACATTTAGTTTCATGAAATCTCCTAGGGAGTGAGTTTAAGTAGAGAGGGGAAAGGGGACTGAACCTTAGAATACTCAGATGCTTGGACTTCGGGAAGGTGAGCATCTGGTAAAGGAACAGCCAGTGATGTAAGAGTGTAAGAATCCAGGGAAGATAGATAGATCAGCCGTGTCAGCTGCTTCTCATTGGTGAAGTACGATGAGGCCTGGTGACTGCAGAAGTCAACAGCAGCTTCCCTGGAGGGGCTCTTGAGAGAATGGGAGGAGATAACTTGAAAACAACTAGTTGAGAGCATTCTGTCAAGCAGTTTGGCTAATAAGGAGAGCATAGAAATGGGGCGGTAACTGAAAGAAAGGATATCGGGGATCAAGCAAGGAATTTTTTTAAGATAGAAATTAGAATTTTTTTGTATCTAGAATGTTTGATCTCACTAACAAGAAAAATCAAATGAAAAGGAGGAATTTGGCATGACGGAGGAGAGAGGAGAACCGCTTGTCTGCTGTATCCAGGCCCTAAGAAAGGATGGGATCCAGTGCCTGAGCGGCTGAGCATGCACTTCTAGGAGCAGGGGAAGGCAGAGGGAGGAGAATGGACCTTAAAACAGGTCACATGTTATAATGTTTATTACAGTTTTTTCAACTCTACGCATTTGATAGGTTTGCTTAAATTTACCTTTCTTTACTACTGAGAGAAACTTTTTCATGTTAATGTCATTTGTAGATGATTCTTCTGTGAATTGTTTTTAGGATAACTTTCTGAAGGAAAGAATAAAACATCTGTTTCAGGTTATTTCAGCATCACAACCTCTTTAAGTTTCGGTCTAGGAGGAACTATATGTCTTGCTAATACAGGGGCCAATTTTAACTAATAATTAGCCCTTTATAGCACCTACTTTAGAGGTAGACATTCAGGCTAGATAAAAGCATTTATTTTCTTCATTAATTTGGTTTTTAAGAGCTCTAATTATAAATACAATTTAGAGTGTTGAAATCTACGAATCCCTTAAGGGATCTCATGCCTTTTTACTGTAGGAATTAAGAACACTTAGTGACTTTAAGAGTCACACCAAGTATAAATCCTAGCTCCACCATCATTTTTCCACTGTGTGGCCTTCAGCAGAAAAACTGGACCTCTCTTTATTTTCTCATCTATAATGTGAAGATTATAATGCCACTGCATAAAGCTGTGATGAGGATTTATTACATAAACACACAGAGTACAGTGTCTAACGCACAGCATGAATTAGTAAGACATCTGTAAGCATTGGTATGTTGGTATATCTAGGAAGTTAGTAATATTCATTCCCATTATGACTTACATTTCTGCAAAATCACAATCTTCAGCTTCTGTGTGCTTTAATGACTTTTATTTTTTCTACCTTTTTAATAAGCATTCACTTTGTTTTATAACCCTCAACTAATATAAAAAGAAATGATCTTAGCCGGGTGCAGTGGCTTTATGCCTGTAATCCCAACACTTTGGAAGACTGAGGCAGGTGGATCAGTTGAGCTCAGGAGTTTGAGACCAGCCTGGCCAACATGGTGAAACCCTGTCTCTACTAAAAATACAGAAACAAAAAAAATTAGCCAGGCTTGGTGGCTGTAGTCCCACCTATTCGGGAGGGTGAGGCAGAAGAATCGCTTGAACCCAAGAGGTGAAGGTTGCAGTGACCCTAGATTGTGCCACTGCACTTCAGCCTAGGTGACATGGTGAGACTCTTTTTTTTTTTTTTGAGACACTCTTTCAACATGAAGAAATCATATGTATTTATTCCTAAGTTTTAATCATTATGAAAATTTGGAATCAAATGAATATTATGTTACAAGTTATCTTAGGAAGTAGCAATTAGTCATTAGGCTTTTTTAAATCTGCAGATATGTATACATTCTCAGTATAAGATGGAAACTATAACATAAACATATTTGAGCAAAAGAAACACATTTATGGTTTAATTAAAATGGCAAAATTATAGCTAAAAGGAAATATTTTCTTTCCTTCCAGTTAGGCATTCTGTAGCCTATCACACATCACTTAAGTGTAGATTTATAACAAGATTATTGGCAACAGTTGTGCTTTGTTCTCAAGTGTTTCCATTCTTGTATAAGATGGCGTGCTTTTTTCAGGACACCCATAAGCACCCCATAATGTGGTGTTTGCATTTTCTCTCATACTGGTGTGTTTTCTCCTCTGCTGCCTGTCCTGCCTCTGCTGGCTTGGCCTTGGTGTTCTGGGCAGGTGTCTTATGGCCCATGCCATATACTGCAAGATTCATGAAGCTGCCAGGCTGCCCATTTGGGAAATCAGAGGGAAATGTGGAAAGTGATGGGGTAGGTGTATATGAAATATGCGTAGAAAATAGGGGATAAGTTCAACATAGAGAGTAGTTCACATGTTCTTGCTGCAAAAGCTTTATCATTTATTATATGGTATAAGTCCTTTTTTATTGTTTGGTAACACTTCTATTTTGTAACAAACTCAGAAGCAATAAGGTTTTAAAAATGCATTTTTAATGAAAAAGTAAGTGTTGAGTTTCTATTTCTTAAGACAGCTGATGAACATATAATTGAGTCAATAGTTGTTGATATTTACAGTCCTACTGTGAAGACCATGGCGATATCACTGACCAAATGAAACAAGTCTGTTTATAGAGGCATCAAGCATTTACCTTAAAACTCAGTAGCTCTTAAACAAATTTTTTTTTGTTGTTTTTTGAGACAGTCTTGCCCTGTTGCCCAGGCTGGAGTGCAGTGTGCAATCTTGGCTCACTGTAACCTCCACCTCCCAGGTTCAAGCAATTCTCCTGCCTCAGCCTCCCAAGTAGCTGGGATTACAGGCACACGCCATCACCCCCAGCTAATTTTTGTATTTTTAGTAAAGACAGTGTTTGACCTTGTTACCCAGGCTGGTCTCAAACTCCTGAGCTCAGGCAATCCACCCACCTTGGCCTAACAAATTTACAAGAAAAAAGCAACCCCATTAAAAAGTGAGCAAAAGACATGAGCAGACACTTCTCAAAAGAAGACATTCATGCAGCCAACTAACATACAAAGAAAAGCTCAACATCACTGATCATTAGAGAAATGCGAATCAAAACCACAATGAGATACCATCTCATGCCAGTCAGAATGGCAGTTATTAAAAAGTCCAGAAACAACAGATGGTGGTGAGGTTGTGGATAAAAGGGAATGCCTTTACACTGTTGGTGGGAGTATAAATGAGTTCAACTGTTGGGAAGACAGTGTGGTGATTCCTCAAAGATCCGGAGGCAGAAATACCATTTGACCCAGCAGTTCCATTACATTGTATATATCCAAAGGAATATAAATCATTCTATTATAAAGATACATGCACACGTATGTTCACTTGAGCACTATTCACGATAGCAAAGACATGGAATCAACCCAAATGCCCATCAATGATAGACTGGATAAAGAAAATGTAGTACATATATACCATAAAATACTATGTAAACATAAAAAGGAACAAGATATTGTCCTTTGCAGGGACATGGATGGCGCTTGAAGCTGTTATTCTGAGCAAACTAACGCAGGAACAGAAAACCAAACACTGCATATTCTCACTTATAAGTGGGAGCTAAACGATGAGAACACATGGACACATGGGTGGGGGACAACACACACAAGGGTCTGTCGAGGGAGGCCAGAGGGGAGGGGAGAGCATTAGGAAGAATAGCTAATGGATGCTGGACTTATTACCAAGGTGATGGGTTGATCTGTAGCAAACCCATGCATCCTGCACATATACCCTGGAACTTAAAAGTTGAAGGAAAAAAATAAAAACTTAGTAATTCTAAGAATGCTAGGCCCAAAGCCAACTATTTATCACATGCAACTGAAGAAAATACATTTAAAATATCACTCTGTGAAGTATGACTTTCCTTTTAGATCAAATGGCTATTCTTCTAAACTTATTTTGCTCACATTCAATTGTGAGTTTTGTTACGTACCTAAGCAAAATGAAGCTGGTACTGTTAGTGTGCTCGCTTCATTAGCAGACCTTTGCAGACAGTTAAGTGTTGCCAGTTTTGTATCATTATCATTACATGATTTAGAAAGATAATCAGTTAAGTCAATTCCAGTAGTAGCTTTGTTTCCTTTTTACCCTAATTCTTAGAAATTTCGTCGGGTTTTTTTTTGTCAAAGATGTAACTTCTTTGTGAATGCTACTGTAAATTCAGTTCGGCATTGCCCATCTGTGTGCTTATGCATTACTGTGGTGGGCCACAACATCATGCTAAAAATTAATATTCTTACTAAAACCTATGGAGCAGAAAGGCACTTGAAATTCATTGTTACACCTGTATAAATCATAATTATCTCCCAACAGGCTGCAGTGTCCATTGAAATAGACATTTGTCAAAATAATTGAATTTTGTTTTTTTTTAAGACAGGGACTTGCTCTGTCACCCACTAGAGTGCAGTGGTCTGATTATAGCTTACTGCAGCCTTGAACGAACTCTTGGGCTCAGGCAGTCCTCCCATCTCAGCTTCCCAAGTAGCTGGGATTGTAGGAGGCGCTCACCACCATGCCTGGCTAATGTTCTTTTTTAAAAAAAATAGAGGTGGGGTCTCACTGTATTGCCCAGGTTGGTCTTAATTGATCCTCCCAGCTCAGCCTCCCAGAGTGCTGGGATTACAGGTGTGAGCCACCCCATACCTGGCCACTTTTTTTTTTTTTTTTTTCATTGAGACGGACTCTCACTATCGCCAGACTGGAGTACAGTGGCGCGATCTCAGATCACTGCAACCTCCGCCTCCTGGCTTCAAGCAGTTCTCCCACCTCAGCCACCCGAGTAGCTGAGACTACAGGCGCATGCCATCACGCCCAACTAATTTTTGTATTTTTAGTAGAGACAGGGTTTCACCATGTTGGCCAGGATGGTCTTGATCTCTTGACCTCATGATCCACCTGCCTTGGCCTCCCAAAGTGCTGGGATTACAGGCGTGAACCACTGCACCCGTCCTTCTTTTTAAAATATACACAGAATAGCTGAACTGCAAACTATTTGTGATGAAGATGACTGAATGCAAAAAAATACTTCCGCATAGCAGTACACTTTCTCTGCTTGTCCATCAGTTGGATTTTAAAGTGTAAGCCTTCAAAGAATTGCTCTGTAAATCAGCCAAAGTGTCCTAGGATAGTGCTGTAAACTTTACCAAAAAAAGTTGCCTAATTTTGATGGCATTTTATTCAGAATATACTAGAAATCTGTAATCAAAGGATTCAACAAATGAAGTGTCAAAATACATGAGGTTTGAATTTTTTGGTGAATTACAGTTGTTAAAAACAAAGCTGGCAGCAGGAAGACATTGATCATCTTTTCCTAAAAACCCGAAGGAAGAAATGAACAAATTATTGAAAGCTCAACAATGCACAAGACTTAATTATGAAATTCTGTAAATTTACTTTGGATATGGTATGGAAAGAATCTCCTGATGACTTTCCTTATTGTAATTGGGTAAATTTGTAGTCTAGAATGGAATGGAATGGAATGAATTTGTGAAGGCCTTAACTTTGTATCATCTAAATTTGGTAAAACAATTAAAAGAATGATAGAGGTAATTTGCGTTTTGTATTGTGAACATATTTGTCAAAGGCACTGTCAGTGGAGGGACTGAACTGGAGGGCTGAAATATTTACCCTTCCCATATGAAAAAATTGAACTGAAAGTATACTTCATTTACCAGAACTTGTTCAGATATTAGCACTGTAGGCAAATTATTTTTTCTCAAAAAAAAATAGTCATTTGTTAAACTTAAAAATTTCATTTTGCACAGATGTTTTTAGGGCCACCATAATAAGCCAGTTTATTGGATAATAAATATTTCAAATATTTCAAGCATATGATTTTCATATAAAATAACTAGCATAGTTATTTCTAGCATTCGCTTCTCAGAAATGTTCATTTGGTCTGTAAATTGTATGGTGACCCAATCCAGATGCCAGACTACATTTTGCATGTTTAAGACTAATGTTTATGGACTTCTTGATTAAGACGGCAGATTGAAATTTCATTGAAAGCTTTACCCCCTTCTTGTATTTACTGAAATGAGAAAAAGAATAGTAATCATCAAAAAAACAAATTCAGCAACCAAACAAGAGAAGGTCATAATCTAATGCAATAAACCTCAAAATATATTTTGGCCACAATGGAAAGAAAATGTTACAGAGCATTTGACAATAGAAGAGTGGTTATTTACAAAGTTACCGAAGCAAAGTGTGACCCAAAAATATTATGCCTAACCAAAACATCATCTTAAAGCCAAACATTTTGAAATATGAAAAAGTTCAGACAACATTTCACAACTAAGCCCTTATGGGGAAAACTATTTAATTCCAGGGATTGAGAGATTAATCAGCTGAGAAATGGAGAAAATAAAAGCAAAATGATTAGTGATAAGGATGAAATTAACTATAGAAGTAAGTTTGAACAATTATGGGAATTACTGTTAGGAGACAGAATCTGAATA